CAGCTCACTGCAGCCTTGACATCCTGGGCTCTAATGATCCTCCTGCATCAGCTTCCTGAGTAGCTGGAACTATGGGCTATGCCACCACCATGCCTGGCTACTTTTTTAAAAAAATTATTTTGTAGAGGTGGAGTCTTCCTATGTTACCCAGGCTGGTTTTGAACTCTCAGGGTCAAGAGATCCTCCTGTTATGTCTCCCAGGAGTTGTGTTTTTATTTATTTATTCTTTTGAGATGGAGTCTCATTCTGTCACCCAGGCTGGAGTGCAGTGGTGCAATCTCAGTTCACAGCAACCTCTGCCTCCCAAGTTCAAGTGATTCTCCTGCCTCAGCCTCCTGAGTAGTTGGGATTACAGGCACATGCCACCATGCCCAGCTAATTGATTTGTATTTTTAGTAGAGACAGGGGTTTCACCATGTTGGCCAGGCTGTTCTTGAATGCCTGACCTGAAGTGATCCACTTGCCTCAGCCTCCCAAAGTGCAGGGATTACAGGCATGAGCCACAGCGTCTGGCCGGGAGTTGTGTTTTTAAATGAATGCTTTGACAACAATCATCTGCACTGTGCCGGGGGTACATTGAAGAGGTTGTGCGAGCACAAAATAAGGACATAGATTCTGGCAGCCTGGCGGGGGCAGTGAGAGGCTGAGAGGGATGCTGTTTAGAGGCTTCCCAAAGGCCCGGACGCTCTCCAGATTCCAAAGGAGTCAGCCAGTTGCAGAAAGAAGGGGCGGAAGGAGCAGAAACATTCAGAGAGGAAAGAGCAGTGCAGGGGGACAGGTGTTGGAGACTGCATGATGCCTCCAGGTAATGACAAACCACGGCTGTGGGAGGAAGTGCAGGCAGAGTCTAATGGAGCCATGTGGCGCCTGCCTGGGCTCGCCAATCATTTGGCACCTGTTCCAGTCGACATCTTTGAAAAAGGGAGACCAGGCACTGGGCAGGAAGGGCAAGGGAGTTTGACCTTGGCTGCCACCTTCAACGGCCCGCCCTTGTCCCAATCCGTTGATCCTGGCCCTGAAACTGTCAAAACAACAGCCCTGTAGATAACCAGACACTCCCTTTTCAGAAGGCAGGTGAGGGGTCACCTCATGGAAAATGGCCACAGGCCCTAGAAAACACTTCCCTCCTCGGGCTCTCCTGGCGGGGAGGATGTAGCTGCCCTCCTGGCCCCTGTTTCTGACCTTGCAGCTATTTCCCAGCATCTCTGCAGAGGGAGCCATAGGCTCCCTAAACCTGAACCCCAGAGTTGCTGCCCTGAGGGGCGCTGACCCTGAAGTAGCCCCTGTGGCCAAGAGCATGCCCCTGAGTGCCCAGTGCCTGACAGGATGAGAGAGCCCAAAGGATCAGGAAGCCCCCAGGCCTCAGGTGAATGCTTCTGCAGCCACGAAAGCAGCCAGACAGACTGAACCCATACCTGCTGGGGATCCAGGCCAGAGGAAGGTAGGGAGCTCCAGGCAGAGTCCCCTTCCAGGACACCAATGTTCCTCAGTCTTTTATTTCTCTCTCAGGAAGCCCAAAACACATCCAGGGTGGGAATGGTGGGGCTGCAGGGGCAGACCAGAGGAAGGAGACATGGAGTTGCTTCGCAAAGGTGAATGAGCATCCACAGAGCTGCTGGGGGTCTTGGAGAGTAAGGTGAACTGCCAGGCATCTGTTTCCCCCTCACACATGCACAGATCAGCCAAGGACCTGGAAGACAGGAAGCTGCCAGGCAAAGCTCCCACCAGTCACTTGGTGCTATGATCTACTCACGTGAGCCAGGGGCGCCCTGACTGCCGGCTCTTTCCTTAGAGCTTATGTGTGATTGATTGATAAATAAAAGGTCCTGAAATGATGGCCTGAAACTGAAGTCATCCCTTTTTCTTCTTTTCTTCCTTTTTTAAAAAATTATTTTCCACAAAATTGCCCAGTGCTTTGGTTTAATACCCAAAGGCTTGTTTTCACTAGGAGGATGCCACCTAAGTCACCAAGGACTCTGAAACCGCTAAACCATGCCACGGGATCCACATTCAACAGGGAGACCCTTTGCACCCAGTAAAATCCAACTGAAAAAATGCTGAGCTCAGTCCTCCCCACTCCCCAGTATCTAGTTGCAGCCCGCCCCCTACCCCTATCTCCTCCCCTGAGACACTGCCTGGGCAGCCAGGGGCCTCCCCCGGGAGCCTGAGTGGCTAGAATTGCTTGCCCTTCCCTCTGCTGTGATGCATGTTTTCCATTACCTGGAGGCCTGTAAGGTGTGGTAAGCTGTGCCGATCTATAACAAACACTTGGTGACCTTGAATGTGTCACTCTTTTTCTGGGCCTCAGCTTCTTTCAGCGTAACTTGGGCTGGAACAATATTCTCCAGCTTCCTAGCTTATTGGTTGGTCCATTCACCCATCAATTGTGCAGATAAATATTGCATGGCCCCTCTCCACTAGACACTGTGCTGGGGCCAGAGCTCTAGAGCTGAATTGAGTGAGCTCTCCTGAGATCCCTGGGTCCTGAAGTTCGTTCTCTTTTGCGTATTAGGATTGGATGGCTCCAATCTCAGCATTCTGCTCCCGGGTCCCTTCCCTCTTCACAGATGCGACGGAAGGAGACAGTGGCTGCCATGGTCCCTGACGAGGGGATAGGGAGGCCTTGGTCCTGCCTAACTCAAGAGCTAGTCCAACTCCAGCTTCACCTAGACCCCTTTGTTCTCCAAGATGAGTGTTTTGTGGAACCTTCATCTATCCACATGACTCATGTGTCCTGTGTCTCCAAAGTGAGGATTTGAAGGTGTCAATGGCTACTCCAGTGCTAAGAGTTGGTCCACTTTGGTGCCAGGGGACTTGCCCCCTTCCCCTCTGGCTGCACAAGCTGCAGAGTCTTTTTCTCATTACACTTCCCTGTGGTTTTGCTGACTTCCAGGCTATTCATTAACTATGCTGACCTCCAGCTTGTTCTCTACCAAATGTTTTTGGAGTCATTCTACATTTCATTTTAATGTTTCTTTTTTTAATTGAGGTGAAATTCACCTCACATAAAAATAACCATTTTCAAGAGTACCATTCACAACTTAGTAGATTCCCAGTGCTGTGCAATCAGCACATCTGTCTCGTTCCAAAACATTTTTATCACACCACAAAGAGACCTCATACCCAAGAGCAGTCACTTCCTATCCGCTACTCTCCCCATTCCCTGGCAGCCATCAACCTGCGTTCTGTCTCAGTGGACTGACAGATCCTGGACATTTCATAAAATGGAATCACATGGTGCATGGACTTTGGTCGGGCTTCCTTCACTTTGCCTCTATCATGTTTTGAGATTCATCCATGTGGTAGCAGGTGCGGGTGCTTTCTTCCTTTTTATGGCTGAATCCTGTTCTATGGTGCAGAGTCCTTTTGTGTATCCACTCAGTGCTGGGCATTTTGCTTTGTTCATGGCTTTTGGCTGTTGTGACTAGTGCACTAGGAGCATATGCCTGCAGGTATCTGTTGTCTGTTCTCTTGAGTCAGTGCCTGGGAGCGGAGTTGCTGGGTCATGCGGTGGCTCTGTGTGTAATGTTTGGAGGAGGCACTGACCATGTGGATGTTTTCAGCTGAGAGCACTGAGAGTTTTGCACTTTGCCTTTCGAGTTCTCTAGGAAGTGAGCTACTGGCATGCCTGCTTACACAGTCTCCTCTGCATCCATGTTTCCAATTTACCAAGGTCATTTGGAATTTTCCTGCCATCCTCCCAAGACTTGGCCACCTGCCAGCTTGGTTTCCTATCCTGTCATTTGAGCCACTTATGAAGTGTTAAATGCACCAGGCCCCAGGCCGATCCTGCTCTGGCAACCTATTTGTCCTGACACGCTCTCCATGCTTGCAGCCAGCCTTCTCAGTGTCCCTTGAGTCCCCCAGAGCCACACAGCCATACAAGACCAGAGTGTGCTTTTCATGGGGCTGCAGAGATCTCCAGAGAAGAGTTCCAGGGCTCTCCTTGTGAACACGAGGCCGTGGCTGTCTCCCCCATGGTCTCTTCCTGTCATGGCTTATGTGGCACTGTCAAAGGGGAGAGATGGACGTGGTCAGCTTGGTGCAGCAGCAGTAGAAGCAGCACTGGCACTCGGGTTTCTGAAAAGTGCAAGGATGAGTGAGAGGTGGGGCTCAGGGTCAGATTAAGGGAAATGAAAATGCTACTGAGCAGGCTGATGGTGTGGAGCTCCCAGACGGGGAGTAAAATCAGCACAAGACAGACCATGGGGCAGGAGCAAAGACTCAGGAGAGGCAGAAGCTGGGGAACTTGAACAGTACCCCATGGGCCTTGCCAGCAGACTCTGAAAAGGCAAGTGTCTGTTGAAGGGAGTGGCTCTTCCCTCATCAATGCTGCCACAAGGCTTCTTTAAACCCCTTAAGGTTTCTTTAAATCATAAGGGGACTGTGCCTGCCAGTCTGGCTTCCAGGGCAGAAGCCTTGTCCTTCTCTGTCTAAGGACCTTTCTTATGCCATGGCCAAGCAATGGTGTCTGTTTGGTGTGTGTTTAAGGCAGAAGAGGTTGGGGCAGGCCCAGGAGAGACTGAGCCCCTGGCCAGCCCATGATAGAAATGATGCTAGACCCCCAGCCTGTGCCCACAGCTCTGTCACTGCTCACTGTGGTCTTGGCGAAGTCTTTCTCTCCGGGCTCTCTCTGAGCCCTCACTTGTCAAACAGGAGGAAGGATGAGATGGTGTGGAAAGTCATCTCCATCACTGATGGCCTCCAAGCCCTCAGAGGTTTGTTCCCAGGGGGCTCACCCTTCACTTCCAGTCGTCCTGTGGCCCAGTTCTTGACTGTGAGCTTTTGACTAAAACTCACCCAGACTTGATGGTGGGCATAGCAAGAGCTTGTATCTCCAAGACACAAGAAGGGATTGTGGAGGACTCAACTTGTCCCAGGTGTGGGGATGCCTTGCGGCCCTGCCCAGCTCACCAGGTATCAGCAAGCGCACATGGTCTACAGGGCAGCCTCAGTCCCTACATTGTGTCCAGCCCATCTCAGTGTCTCACTCTGCACAGGTGGGAGCTATCGGCGATGAGGAGGAGTGGGTCACCCTCTATGAAGAAGAGAATGAGCCTGATGCCCAGACGCTGGAGATCCCAAACCTCACACCCTATACTCACTACAGGTGAGAACAGCAGTGGTAAGCTGCTACAGGAGGAAACGCTGGCAGCCTACACAGGTGGCTTCTGTTGGCAATAGTAAAACCCAGTTGTACATATGTAAATGAGATGTTTCTAAGTGGCAATAACAGTACATTAAAGCCTTAAGGAGCAGGCAGGATGCATAGCTGGGTGTTATTACAGGGGAGATGATAGGCATATGTTAAACTCACGAGGTTCCTTCCTTCAGTACCAGCCAGCAAAATACCTCATAGAAATGGCCCATTATTATATTAGGCTAAATAACGAAGAACCACAGGCAGCAGAGACATGGCACTTTACCAGCTCCACAACCTCTTGGGACTATTAACATGCTGTGTGCAAACAAAGCAGATGACCTAGGAAGATCCATCTGCTCCCCTTCCCAGGCAGGACCCAGGAGCTGCTAGTCTCACTCATCAAGCACTTAATATGCCATTTAACCTTTAGCTTCTTGATCCCCAAAATGGGTCCAGACAGTAAATCCTTGGCCTTAACAAAGGGCAGTGTGATCATGAGCTGTTAGTGCTGTGATCGCTTCCTGTAAGACCACTGAAGGAGATGAAATTTCCAGTTACCACTAGATGTTGAGTTTGATTATGTCACTGTTCTGCCAGGATGGATGCATTTCATAAGATTGGAGAATGAAAGAATAGGAATTACTAATTCGGGGAGTAGAAGGTGAAATTACATCTTTGTGAAGAATTTTTTTCCAGCACAAAACCAAAGTTAGAGTTTAAAGAAAACAAAAGAACTAATAAGAGATGCCATTTAGTTTCTATTCATTTTAACATCCTTCAGAAGCTTAGAACAGACAAGACACAATACATTGGTTTTTAAAGAAAAATGTTTAGGTTAAAATGAGCTGTTGAGATTGCAGACTTACCATGTGAAATTAACTGAAGCTATATAATCGTTTCAAAGATCAGAAACCATAATTAGAGATCAGTGTCCCTGTCTGAAATTCAGGTACATTTGGGGAACCTCTCTAGTAAATGTGCGTATGTACGCAAACTTGGGTTTTTTTTCTTGTGTGTAAACTAAATTTAAATAATCGTTTATATATGAATAAAGAAGAGATAGAACTGAAAACATTCCTGTAGATTTTAAAGAACATCTGACTTTCCCCTCATTTTGTAGTTAAGGAAATGGAGATAATCTGATTTGCCAAAGGTCTAACAGTTACTCATTGGATTAGAATCACAGAGTGTGGTGTGAACCCTGAAAATTTGAAACAGGTCTCAATTACTTTAGAAAGTTTATTTTGGCTGGGCGCGGTGGCTCACTCCTGTAATTCCAGCACTTTGGGAGGCTGAGGAGGAGGGTGGATCATGACGTCAGGAGATCCAGACCATCCCGGCCAACGTGGTAAAACACTGTCTCTACTAAAAATACAAAAATTAGCTGGGCGTTTTTGCACCTGTAGTCCCAGCTACTCAGGAGGCTGAGGCAGGAGAATCACTTGAACCCAGGAGGTGGAAGCTACAGTGAGCCAAGACTGTGCTACTGCACTCCAGCTTGGGAAACAAAGCAAGACTGTCTCCAAAAAAAAAAAACCAAAAAACTTCATTTTGCCAAGGTTGAGGATGTGCCCGTGACACAGCTTCAGGAAGTCCTGCCAACATGTACACAAGGTGGTCGGGGCATGGCTTGGTTTTATACATTTTAGGGAGATGTGAGACATCAATCAATATAAGCAAGAAGGACATTGGTTCAGTCTTGAAAACTGGGACAAGCAAAGGCAGGAGATTCAAAGCAGGGAGGGGGCTTCCAGGGCACAGATAGGTGAGAGACAAATGGTTGCATTCTTCTGGGTTTCTGATGAGCCTTTCCAAAGGAGGCAATCAGATATGCATTTATCTCAGTGAGCAGAGAGATAACTCTGAATAGAGAGAAGAAGATTTGCCTTAAGCAGTTTCCATCTTGAGGGTTTTTGTTTTTTTTTTTTTGTCTAAGCTTCGTGATTTTGGGGACCCAAGATATTTTCCTTTCACAATAGGTTCTGGGCCCCTTGTTCTCCTGAACCAACAGAAAAAGAGGTGCAGGGGTGTCATTGGTCATTTAAAAGGCTGGACTTCAAAACTGCCAGTTGGTAGTAACATCCCGACATTTTAATTCTGGTACCATAGCTACTTGCTCTTCAACCCCTTGAGGTTATCTTAAATTTGAATCAGCTGATGGCAACTGGTAATATGGATTTCTGGACACCCAACCCATCCAACTATGTTTCACTTGAAGATATAAAATTGTTACATTGCAATTGATGTATGTGTTCCATTCTTTGAAGGCTTTTAGGGAAAAAAAGGCCACATATGCAATTTGCTTTTTTTTTTTTGAGACAGAGTCTTACTCTGTCACCCAGACTGGAGTACAGTGGCACGATCTTGGCTCACTGCAAACTCTGCCTCCCAGGTTCAAGTGATTTTCCTGCCTCAGCCTCCTAAGTAGCTGGGATTACAGGCATGTGCAGCCATGCCCAGCTAATTTTTGTATTTTAGTAAGACAGGATTTCGTCATGTTGGCTTGTCTACTCCGACCTCAGGTGATCCCCCACCGCCGCCCGCCTTGGTCTCTCTAAGTACAGGTGTGAGCCACTGCCCCAGCCACAATTTGCACTTTTAATGAAACCAAGTGAAAAGAGGGTGTTCTTGAGCAATGGCCTTTATGATATGGGTAGACACTTTTCTGAGCCTTCCCTTGAGAAATGGTCAGGGCCTTGTGATTTTGGATTTTTTTTTCCTTCTGACCTTTGCTTTGCCATAACTCTCATCAGTGGTTTTGCCTTTAGATTTCGAATGAAGCAAGTGAACATTGTTGGGCCCAGCCCCTACAGTCAGTCTTCCCGCGTCATCCAGACCCTGCAGGCCCCACCCGATGTGGCTCCAGCCAGCGTCACGGTCCGGACTGCCAGTGAGACCAGTCTTCGGCTTCGCTGGGTGGTAAGTGGGGGTGAGAAGAGAGGCTAGAGGCTCATGGGTCCTGAGTTAGCAGGGGCCCACAAAATCCAGGGCTTAGGAGTCTCTTAGTCATGCCTTTGTCCTAGTGAAAACTAATCTCATCGTTAAACCAAAAAGTATTGCATTTTACAATTAGTGTTGGCTCTCAGGCCAGCCCAGGAGATCTGATTAATTAGTAGCATTGCTTACTCTCTTCTTGGAACTGAGGACTATTCCTTGGGGCAGGAAAGCTGATGGTGCTGCAGGCCGGACCTCTAAGTCCTTAAGCTAGGTCAACATGGAACCAATACTCAGTATTTGTAAGGGAGCCAGCCTGATATTTAATCAGAACATTTGCCCACAAAATTAAGCCAAAATGTATTAAAAGAAATTGTATGCAGCCAAAGTTACTGTCAGGGTTTCATTTAATTCACAGAAGAAAAGTTTCAGGGAAAAATTAAATAGATGCTTCTAAGACTATTTATCCCAGGAAAGCCTCTTCCATGGAGTTGGCCTCACCCGTGAGGGTGTCAGTTCTGAAATGTCAGCTCATCACACCCCCTCATTCATTCCTAGCCCCTGCCTGATTCTCAGTACAATGGGAACCCCGAGTCCGTGGGCTACAGGATTAAATATTGGCGCTCAGACGTCCAGTCTTCAGTACTGGCCCAAGTCGTCAGTGACCGGCTGGAGAGGGAGTTCACCATCGAGGAGCTGGAGGAGTGGATGGAATACGAGCTGCAGATGCAGGCCTTCAATGCCGTTGGGGCCGGGCCATGGAGCGAGGTGGTGCGGGGCCGGACGCGGGAGTCAGGTGAGGGAAAGGTGATTCCTGTCCTAAAGACACCTTATTAGAGATGGGGCTGAGTGCCCCTGGGCCTCCGTATCCCAGCCTAGTGGTGTCTCATTGGCCTGTCGCAGTTGTGTCTGTCTTGGAGCTTTCCTAATCCATGATTAGGCCAAAACTCAGCAGGAATTTCCATCCGACTTCATTAGGGCCCCAAGCCATTCATTGGAACTGGTGGTGATTTCCAACAGGGGCTCGGTTCACATTACTGTGTTAGAAATTAGGGATGGTTTTCACTACCAATGACGAAAAGCAAGCGTGTGTAAAGATCCAATGGGGAATCTTTAAAATACAAGGGATTCAGAATCTTCTTGTCACAAATTAATAGGGGTAGTATAGTATGTAATCCAGCCTGTAGTAATAACTAGACCTCCAAAAGTTTAATTGCTTGAACATAATAGGAGTTGATTTCCCACTTATATTGGGGTCTAAGGTGGGTGTACCTGTTTGGTGAGTGGCTCTCTTCCATGGGTGATTCAGGGACCCAGGCTTTACTGTTCTGTGGGACTAATCTCCTTCTGCACCCAGCTGCCAGCAGGGAAAAGAAGGCAAAGAATGGGCCCCTTCAAACCTATTCAGAAGTGGAACATCACTCTGTTCATCTTCTTTGGGCTCAGTCATGGGGTTCTGCCAGTTGCAAGAAAGAAATGGAGAAGTGTTTTTGGCCAACCTTGAGTAGACCTCTGCTGCACTGTGCTAATGCTGAGAGTAGGGCCACCTAATTTTTAGGCTTTGTGGACTAACTTCCACTGGCCAACTGTGGGTTGGAGAGCTTTTCTTGCCTCCCTTGAATTTTTAGAAACCCAGGGAAGGAGAGCAGTTTCCGCTTATTAAGGACTCACTGTCATCTGCCCCTGGTCCCTTTAGTCTGATCTGAATTACTGAGGTTCTGTCTGGAGAAGGAATAAACCAGCTGCACCTCTGCCCAGGCTTCTTGGATGAAAGTCACAGCATGTGCTTGATAGAGGGAGGGGCTGTTAATTCTGGACTAACATAGGCCTTTGGAAATACGACTTAGATTCCTGACCTTTGTTCGGACATGGGATGAAGAGGAGGCCTGAAGGGTTGAGATGGTGAACTGGGCCAGTGGTCAGAGGAAAAGGACAAGACTCCCTGGCTCCTTCTTCCAGGGGGCCTTGATCCATTTTGCTTATTGATGTCAAACCCTCTTATTCGCTCTCTTTTCCTCTTTTCACCGACTCTGTGTTAATGAGCATATTTGGCTCCATTGTTTCCGCTGTCGTAGACATGGCTCTGTTTCCTGGAGACAGCTCCTGAGCCCAGCATGAGTCCTCCTTTCCTTGTGGCTCCTAGGGGACAGAATCACCCTTGAAGCTGGGGAGTCAAGAGGTGGCCAGCGCCTGCCTACAGCTGTTTCCACCCCAGAGTCCTCAGAAATGCCTAGTGCCTGCCCTCTCCCCTTCCCAGAGCCTCCCTGCTTCTGTCCCTGTGCTACAATGCCATGCAAAGAGACAGTTCCCCTGTTGTTGTTTTCAATAGAAAAATTAATTAACTTATTAGATTCTGGAAACTGCCTTAGGAGACACAGTTGGAACTCAGAGTGGCTTTGATGGGAAATGGACAAAAAGATGAACTAGGAAGGCAAGTGCATGGCAGGCATCGGAGAAAAGCCTCACACAGTCAGCGAGAAGAGGCAGAGGACACTGGGGCACAGGGCCTGTTGGCATGGCTGGAGGTGGCTTTGGGGGCCGCAGTCCTCAGGACGGAGGTGTTTAAAAGGGAGAAAGGCATAGACACTTGGGGCGCCCAGGGCTCCCAGGGCTGGCCTATCTGCTCCGAAGATGAAGAGGGAAACATAGAAGGTGGTGCCAAGGTGGGAGGGTGGCCTCTGAGGACAGCTGGAATGAGGAAGCAGATCAGCTCCCAGCAATGAGGAAGCGGGCCCTGGAGCCCCGGGCAGTGCCAGACCCTCATTTCCTCCTAACGCTCGTCTTAACCCTGCCAGGTACTGCAATGGGTTCAGGTGTGCCCCACACCACCCCTCTACCCTTGAGGTGGCCAGGCCAGGGTAAGGAGTCTGCACATTGGACTTGGGCCCAGCAGTGCCCGACAACCTGAGGGCACCAGTGCAGGCCCAGTTATCTGCAGGTGCCACCCACTCTGTGTGCTATGGTGTGGAATGGCCTGAGAAGCTCTGGAAAAAGGCTCCTCTCGTCCTTTCTTGCTCATTCCCCGGCTCCCACCAGTGACAGGTGTGAGCCTGCTGCTGCCCATGTATGTTGCTGTAATGCACAGTGGGTTGCATCGCAAACAGGCCCCTGCGTTTCCTCAATGCTGTTCCACTCTTGGTCACCAGCTCCAGGCAAAAGCTCCTGTGCCACTTGGTGATTTTATTTCTTCCTACTCTTCTCAGAGGACAAGAGGTGAGGGTAGATGGGAGGACTCTTACTCAGTAGTAGGGAGAAGCGGAGCCACTGCCACGTGAGAATGCTCTCAGGGTGTGGTGTGAACCCTGGAGCCCACTAATGGGAGCCCTGGAAGAGCAGCCATGGTGACAACCAGTGTGCTTCTGAGAGGACCAGTGTTTAAGGAGGGAACCACCCAAGCAACAGAGTTGGGCCCAGTGTCCCTCAGCTCTCCTTTAGATTGCAGCTTTCATTACATTCCAGAGGAAAGGTGGAGACACACTGACACTCAGCCTGGGACTGTGATCACATGGATTTTGAAAAGCTCTTTTATCTTCACTGTCTGAATCTTTGTGCCAAAGAAGAGAACTTGAGAACTTCAGAGGGACAGTTCTAAATCCAGTAAAAGGCAGTCCACAAAAATATTTTTTCAAAACTAAAACTTCTGCTATAACCAACAAAAAGTTATGGATAAAAATGTAAGTTTTTGAAATCTTAAATGTACTGGCTGGGCACGGTGGCTCACACTCATAATCCCAGCACTTTGGGAAGCTGAGTCAGGAGGATCGCTTGAGTCCAGTTCAAGACCAGCCTGAGCAACATAGTGAGACCCCATCTCTACAAAAAATACAAAATTAGCCAGGCATGCACCTGTAGACCCGTTGTAACCAAATGAGTTAGAAGGAACGCACCATGCTCTGAGTTCTAAATTAAGAGTCCTTTATTGATTTGCTGGCGACCGAGAGACTGCTAATGCTCAAAATTCTCTCCGTCCCAAAGAAGAGGCTTGATTCTCTTGTATACCTTGATTGAGGTAGGGGTGGGGGAGCCTAGCTGAAGCAGAATTTTACAGAAGCAGAAAAGCAGGTTAGAGGAAAGGGCTGTGGGCACAGGTGGTTTTCATACAATTACCAAGAAGGGAGGGCGATCAGGCTCCTTCTACACAATGATCAAAGGGTAACTTTTTTCTTACAGTAGCGGCGTGGGGGGGTGGTTATGTCAAGCAGGATGCAGTTACAATGGTTACAGGTGTTAGGAACAGTAGCTTCAGTGCTTCTAAGTGCAGTATGACCCAGTTATGCACTCAGAGGGACTGTGGTAGTCGGGGAAGGCAGGTTGGAGTTTACAGCTAAGATGGAGTCAGTGGCGGTGAGCCAAGATTGTGCCATTGCACTCCAGCCTGGGTAACAAGAGTTAAACTCCATCTCAAAAAAAAAAAAAGTTGGAGTCAGTGATGCTCGCCCTGGGTAGGTTATTACAGTCCCAGCTACTTGGGAGGCTGAGGTGGGAAGATGGCTTGGGCCTGGGAGTTTGAGGCTGCAGTGAGCTGTGATCATGCCACTGCACTCTAGCCTGACCAACAGAGCAGGATTGTGCCTCAGAAAAATAAATAAATAAATAAATTCATCAACACATTTATAAGGAAAACAAGAAATCCTCAGGTGTCAGAGGTGTAACAGGAACTAGAAAGAGTTCAGCAGGAAGTCCTGGGCTGGTGCCACAGCTTCCCTGGGTTGGGTGGGGATCAGGCTGGTTCTTTCCTGGTGGTTTCAGGACCTGGGATTTGATGGCCATGCGGGAACAGGAGAGTCAGCTTTGAATCTATGTAAGTTGAGAGTTAGGGCCTAAACTCATGCACTTCAGACATGGCTCTTGAAGGCCATTCCTTCCTTCCTAGGAGAGGCTGATACTCTGCCTGCAGAGGTTTGACCATATATGTCTACCTGAAGACAGAGTAGAGAATGAAAAGTCGCTCTGAGTCCTGTGCCCAACTTGATATTAGGTTTTGAATTTTCATTATATGAATGGCCCAGGAACTCCCAGAACAGAAATTAATGTGACATTTAGTTCCAGAAACCAAAAGCACAAGCAACTAAAGAAAGAGTAGATAAATTAGACCTCATCAGAATGAAAACCTTTTTAACATGCTTCAAAGAATGTTATAAAGGAAATGAAAAAACTCCCCAAATGGAAGAAAATATTTGCAAATTATATATCTCATGAGGGATTTATATCTAGAATATATAAAGACCTCTTACAGCTTCACAACAAAAAGACAAATGACCCAATTAAAAACTGGGCAAAGGATTGCCATAGACATTTCTCCCAAGGAGATTTACAAATGGCCAGCAAGCACATGAAAAGATGCTCAACATCATTAACTATTAGGGAAATGCAAATCTAAGCCACAATGAGATATCACTTTACACTCCTAAAATAAGATGGCTAAAATAAGAAAAGGTGGACAATAACAGGTATTGGTGGGCACAGAGAAACTGGAACCCTTGTACATTGCTGGTAGAAATGTAAAACGATGCAGAAACATTGAGAAACAGCTGGCATTCCTCAAAAGGTGGAGCAGGGAGTCACCATGCAACAAAACCATTCCACTCCCAGGTGTATACCCAAGAGAATAGAAATCATATGTCTGCACAAAAATGTTGTGCATGAATGTTCATAGCAGCTTTATTCACAGTAGCTGAAAAGCAGAAACAACCCAAATGTCTGTCAGTCGACAAATGGATGAATAAAATGTGGTCTATGCATGCAATGGATGATTCAGCAATAAAAACAGATGGAATTATGATACATGCAGCAGTG